GAGATAATAAGGGGAGAAATAAGAAAACGAAATGGTGAGAGGGGAAAGCCAATTAGTCGAATTGAAGGGGGTGTATATGTGAAAGAGGCTTCGCGGGGGAGGGGGGGGTTGAGGTCAGACGAAGAATACAAAAGTATCGTAGTAACACGCGGTGACATTAAATCGGTGGGCGCCACCATCGACGCGAGTATTCCTACTGCAAAATACCTGACACAGCCAAAATGCAATAATTTCATATCTCAGCAACCGCGCACACGGAATGTTGAGAGTTAATCTGTCAGTATCAGTGGAGCTGTCTTCTAGTGCTCTGTCTTTTCGTTAGCGGTGGGATTGGCTCAGCTTGGAGTAACAGGCCTTGAAGGCACGCTAATGACTGCGATTGCCCAAAAACATTTGACTTGTACTTGGTATGACTACGATTGTACTTGACCTAGCCGGCCTCTTCGATGCCTTGAACCATACCTCCTCATGCACAACGATCCGCGACAGCAGACCGGAACAGTTCAATCCATTTAATTCTTAAACGAAGGAGAACGAATACAGAAAGCCTATGAAACACTTCCATATCTTGACGAAGCGTGTTCACCCATCTTCGACACCTTTAAGTGGTGGCGGATCGAAGGCAGTAACACTAAACTCGTGAGGTGGAAGACAAACAGTGTGCCCTAACCACCTTAGTCGTCTTTCTTGGATGGCTTGAGATATCCGCGCGATACTGTCGCAGCGAGTGCGGACTGTCTCATTCGAGACGAAGTCGGTATACTTCACTTGAAAGATGGTCCGCAGAGAGCGGTGGTCAAATACCTCCAGACTTCGCTCCTCTTACATGCGCAGAACCCAGCACTCACACCCATAGAGAATGACTGACCAGACGGATGCACAGTACACACGGATCTGCGTGGCGAAGGAGATATCACCTCGGATCCCTAGGGGTTTTCTGAAGACTGAAAGAAACGACGAGCAGAATCGACTCGGGAGACAATGCAGTCCTTACTCTGTGCACGAGATACTTAAGGCTGTCGAATTATTCAACTTGACGACCATTAATCCCCAGGGAGACCTTCTCCTGGTCGGGGATGCAGCTCTTCCCGGTATTTAGGGACAAACCAACCGACATAACGATCTCATTCACCCGTGACACTACAGACCGTAGATTGCCTGCATGGTAAACACTCCCTAGTCAGTTAATGGGTACGTATTAAGTTATTTTATCAACATCCCCCTTCGACGCTTCTACACTTTCTCCATAGGTCTTTTGCAGACGATTATGGCACATTGTGACGATTAATAAAGCCTGGAAAATAGCTGCTTTGGCAACGGTAAGTATTTGTATAGCTGACAGTTTCTGGTGTCAACCAGGCACGTTTCCTCGCTGTCCCTTGACCCACAGGTACTAGCGTGAGCAGCCCTCGCAGCTTGAGTTGATGTGGATGCACGAAATACCTAAGACCATATAATAAGGAATGCAACTTTGAAAGGTCAAAAAACAAACAGGGAAACAAAACTCACAGGCCTTATTAAGTTGAGCCTGCATTCGACGCTTAAGTAACTCCTGGGGAGTCAGTTTGGCCCCGGAACTGCCAGATGCTAGGCGTGCCTCCTAAAACCAGAGAGGGAAAAGGAAGTGAACAAACGGCGAAGAAGAAGAAAAAGGAAGTACGCATAAAAAACGTTAGTTTAACAAAGAAAGCTAACAATCACACTAGTTGGGATGGTAGTTATTCCTATCGAATAGGGGGTCTTGGTTAAAGGCAGAGCTCAGATAAGAGGATATGCGTAAACTCGAGAAAGCTCATGCATCGGTCTCCTGTGTTTTACATCTTCTACCATATACTATGACTTGCTTGACTTTTTTCATCGGTTGGTGATCACTACCCGGTACTCTGTACCCATATTTCCGCCTGAAATAAAATATTCATCCAATAAATAGTCTTTAAAATTGCAACCAATACGGCAAAGAACTCGTGTGACAATGATAGGAGATTTAACTTGTGTTACTCCATGAAAGGAGAGCTTAAATGGAAACCCCGCGTTATGCAGGTCCAGGGTTGGGATTGTTAGGGCCCAGCTAGCAGGCAGATAGCACGCAGCGAGCGGCCGCACTCACGGCAGGCTATCGATCGGCCTAAAGGCGACGAACGCTTACTTGCAGACAATCAATTAATCAATGATTTAAAATTCAAGCTACAGTCAGCCCTGAGTCACCAGCCAATCGTGCAACTAGCCACGCCAGAAGCTGATTGGCCCGATGGACATAGTTTACACGAGTTTGTTGCTCAAAATATGTTGTACCTTTTACACACAAAGACTTCTGCTTTCGCTCACTTCTTGTCATGTTCTTCCTTGGGGGCTCACGCAAAACGGACTCAGGCGGTGACAGCTCGGCCTTGGCTACTATTACAACAGGGATATGGTTGGTTGTACACTAGAACGTTCTGGACAAGTGGGACTGGTCTAATAGTCCTTGTCAGTGCAAGCGTTACTCTCATCCAAAGAGTTGAGAGTTCAAGCCCCGGGTGGTGTACCACTCGGGGGTGGGTATGACTGGCTGACGACGGCTAATAAGCCAGAAACTTCCATTCCAGTCTCCCACTTGACTTTGCCGATTCAAGTTGCGTCGGACCTTCACAGACAAACAATTTTCAGTGGTTTACTAAACTGTGCAGAAAACTAACTGTCTTCACGCTGATGGCACTTTTAATGGGATGACGACCACCGAGTAACGAGATATCACTCAACACACTTATAGCCAAGAAAGTAAAACCTGCGAATTTCTTAAGAATGAGTCAAGTTGTTCCCGCACAGAGGAAATTTTATGTATTTGGTTATGGTATAGCTAAGGTGAATTGGATGCTTAGAGCGAGTATGAACAAAAACTTTAGGAGGTCACCGTAAATAGGTCACTTCCAAGTACACTCTCAAAGAGCAACGCGTTCTTCACATTATGTGGTTCAACGGATAATTCTTATGCCCCTAAACAGTTTAGCCGGAAACCAGAGAATTAAAATTACTCCGGACAACAGAAAGGAGACGGATTTAAGGTTTTTTGGAGCAGAGCAGATCAGAGACGGCCAAGTAGTGTACAGATAGTTTTGGTTCACAAGGGGGTCAAACTGAACTGACTTGAGTTGATGAAGTAGTAGTGGTGGCTGAGGTGTGGGAGCTATGGGTTGCTGGAGAAAAGCGGTCGTCACTTCGCGTTTCATCGAGTGACTTCTTACCACCGGAGCCATAAAAGTCTCCAGATTCGCCAAAATTGTCGAAGTACCTTTTAACAAAGAAGGGTAGAAAAACACAGTGTACTTAATTCAAATAAGTAAAACGTGTTTATTAAATAAAAAGAAACTCCATGGAGTGAGCGTCAAGCGGGGTTGCATCGCAGAGATGTGCATGAGAAAGTGCAAACAAATAAGCAATGAATACCGGGGACGTTTCCTCATACAAAACTAGATTCGATAAGGTGTGTTGAACTAAGGAAAAAAACGAGATGTGAGATTAACATCCAATGAGCATGTCTACGAGACCTCAACCCTGTTCATATACTGAAAACTGTGCACATTTGTGTCGATCACCATCACTACTAGCTCGGCTAAGAGGTTCGGATCCGAAGTAACACGAGAATTCAAGACTTTGTAGGCAGGCGTGAAAACGTAATTTAGGTCTCAGAAAGGCTTGCGACAGTAGATTCCTCATAGGAAGCACAGGCCAGCACGAAAAAGGCTAACTGTCACTCCCAACGCTTTAGTTTTCCGAATCACTGGAAAGAACCAAAACAGTGTGATTAAAAATATAGATAGGTAGCGACTAGG